GATTCTTATTAAACAATTAAATTAGGCCTAACCATTGATCTAGGGCTTAAAATTAGGTAATTATTGTCTTGCCATCTCATGCCCCATCACATTAGAATCATCAAATGTACTTATATTCCAAATTATAAAATTTAATTAATTACAATTTTACCTACCTATAGAAAATACTGTAAATTGGTTTCTATCTCTTATCCCTTTATGTTTCAATCATCTTAGGGAATCAATTATGATCAATATTACCCTTGCACTCTTTAGTTCAACCTAAAATTTTAATTAAGGCTCGAAATTTCGTAATTACCATTTTACCCCTAGGACCCTTTACCTCATAACTCTTTCAGTTTAATTCAAATAAATTTGGAAATTTTATGGATTGCTACTCATGAGTTAATTAAGACACCATAGAAAACTTTGTATTATTTTTATTTTTATTTTATTTTCTGGAATTATTTTAGCTCAAAAATAGGGATTTTCAAAGTTAATTCATTTACTTAATTAAAACACATTCTTCGCCCTTAAGAAAATTTTAAAAGGTTTACATGGGTCAGAAGACCACTCAGTCCATTCTTCATGATTTTTTGAATTATATTTTTATTATTATAATTTTTTGTTGGTTTTAAAAAATAAATAAATAATATGTTTTATCTCGAAAATTGTCTTTTATATTTTTTTTAATCTCTCTGACTTTATAGAACCTAGAGAAATTAATTTCATATTTTTCTAAGTTTTTTTTTTATTTTCTATAATTTTTTAAGTTAAAAATATAGAAAAATACATTTAACTACTTAAAATGTACTTTTATAATCTCAAAATTTATGGAAATTTTTAAAGTTATTTTTTTTCAATTAGAAAGTAATTTATGATATTTTGATGCATTTTGGGCATTTTTGTGATTTTTTGTATTTTTAATTAATAAATAATTAAGAAAATAGGCTAAAAATAAAAGTTTTATTTTGACTTTAATTTAATTTTTCTTAGATAGCTCTAGCCTTAAGCAATTCTTCAAACTAATTTTTATAGATTTATGAACTATATTTAAATTTCTATAATTATTTTAAGCAAAAATACTTATTTACTTAGAAAATACATTTTTACATTGAAAATAATTTTTATGGCTTTACATTTTTTACACGGACTTCCCAAGTTCATTTTCTTCAATTTTGGATATTTTGTTAAATTTTTTAGTTATTTTGTTTTTATCTTATTTTTGGTATTTTTCTTAATTTTAAAATAGAAAAATATGTTTTAAATTTTTATAAACTTTTATTTTTCATAAATTCCTCAACCACAGTGAACTTGATAAACCAATGTTTGTAATTTTTTATTTATATTTTATTTTTAAGAATTATTTTAAGCAAAACAAGGGCAATTTACTTTGAAATTTAGGGTTTCCAATGTTAGAGGTGTCCTCTGACATTGGAAAAATCAGAGAACATCCCTAGACATATGAGGAATGAACCCACCATTTTCATATTTTTGTGATTAATATTTAATTACTTATGATTTAAAATAATTTTAGAGTATTTAATTAATTTAAAAGTAAATATTACGAATTTTTTTTATTTCTATTCCACATTGTTCTCCTCTATTTATTGAGCACAGGGTATTTTTTTTATTTTTATCATTTTTTTACACCAAGTTATGAATTTTTAAAGTTTATATAATTATTTAAATCAGAAAATACCCCTATTTATCTACTTATCTAAGTCAATATTTATCTACTTATCTGAGTCAACGCCACTGCATCCTCTTGCGCGTCGAAATCCCATGCGTCGGGCTCTGATTTATCATCGCCATATGAGTCAGCTTCCATGAGGCTTCGTGTTCACGCTTCATTCCCTCATCTGATGCCATCTGAGTTGTCATTCTAACAGACACGGACAACATTTGTTCATCATCCCCGATAGACTCGACTCGAGAACCGTCAAACTTCTAGACTTAATATCTCACTTGGTTCTCAACTAAATCATATGGGGTTTGTTCCTATAGATTCATCTTGATAAGACGAACCTATCTAACAATTACATGTGCATGAAATACATGTTTGCTTCATAAAGTTCCAAGTCGAGGACAATATTCAGGATTTTTATCCATACCTTGGTTCAAGAAGTGCAACCTCAATTAGATTGCTTCCTGAGCTTTGCCTTGAGTCCACGAACGTCCTCCAAGTGTTGCTTTGCTCTAGTGTTGGGCTTAAGTAAGAGTTCAATTAAAGGGTGAATTTGGTTTGATCTAGGACTATGCTAAGGTGCTCGAGAGAGAGGGGTTTTGATTGGGGAATTCTCCTCGAACTCTGGTGAAACTTTTGGAGCAATCAATTTAAAGTTTTATGGGGTTTTGTGGAATGGCAAAAAAAACCATGAATTTTAGAGATGAAATAAGGGTTTCTCAGTGGGGAAGAGGGGCCAAAACCGATTAGGATGAGCTTCATATGAGTGCAATGGAAGTTTGAAATGATTTTGGTAGAGTTTCCCTAGGTTTTTGTGCAATTTTTTTTGTCGTGAGGAGACGGCTTATTCATAGAAGAGGAAGGGGGCACCAATTGGGCAAGCTTAGGAATCCAAAAGGCTGCCTAGATGGAGGGAAGAAGAGGGTCAGTGGCCAATTAGATTGAGCCAACTTGGATGTGTCCAATTTTGGGTTTTGACCACATGATCCCTCTCGGTCATGGCTTTTTTCGGTGGCTAGGGAGGCCGACCAGCCAAACAAAGGTCACCTCCACATTATGGGAGGTCATATGTGAGGAGATGTGAGTTCAATTGGGTCCAAGTATGGGTAATTTTGGTTTTTCCAAAAGGGGCCATGGGTTTGGGTTAGGTTGGGCCAACCATGGGTTCAACCCCATGTAAATGGTTTGGGGTCAAGCCCAAGATGGCGGGAGTTGATGGGTCAACTTTTAGGGACTTGGGTGATTGATTTGGCATGGGGAATGTGAATTAAAGCTTTGGTTAAGTCACTTTAGTTGGGGGAGAAAGCAGGCCCTCTTTTTTCCTCTTAGAGCAAGGTGGACTTCCATGGCTTCTATGGCTCACCTATGACTTGGAGAAGACTTCATGGCTTGCATGTGTCTTAGCTAACTTTCATATAAAATTACCCTTTTAGGGAATTTTGATGTGTCTTAGGGAGTTTTATGATTTTAGATGGGCTACCATCAGGGTTCCTTATCGGGAACTCAATAGTCATGGTGAGCTTAATTTGTTTTCAATTTTGATTTGGATTTAAATTTTTATTTTGGTCTTGTGAAAATTTTGAATTTTGTGGTAAGGAAATCATGTTGAGATGGAAAGCACAAGGACTCACATCTAACTCAAAGATTGATCGAGAAAATTTTATTACATTGGGAAGGAAAGCTTCAAGGACTCACATCCAACCCAAAAGATAGTGAGAGGGAATTAGAATTTAGGTACTGGTCCTGAGATTTGATTTTTATTACATTGAGAAGGAAAGCTCAAGGGCTCACATCCAACCCAAGAGGTTGCAAGAGTGAATCATAATTTTGGTATTGACCCCGAGATTTGATTTTTACTACATTGGGAAGAAAAGCTCAATGACTAAATCCAACTCAAAATTTAGGTACTGACCCTGAGATTTAATTTTTATTACATTGGAAATGAAAGCTCAAGGACTCACATCCAACCCAAGAGGCAGCGAGTGGGAATTGGAATTTAGATACTGACCTCGAGATTAGATTTTTACTACATTGGGAAGGAAAAGCTCAAGGACTCACATTCAACCCAAGAGGTAGCAGAAGGGAATAAAAATTTAGGTATTGATCCTGAGATTTGATTTTTTCTACATTGGGAAGAAAAGCACAATGACTCAAATCCAAGTTAAAGACTAACCGAGGAAAATTTTACTACCTTGGGAAGGAAAGCTCAAGGACTCACATCTAACCCAAAAGATAGTTGGAGGGAATCATAATTTAGGTACTGATCTCATAATTTAATTTTTACTGCATTGGGAATGAAAGCTCAAGGACTCACATTCAACCTAAGAGGTAGCGAGTGGGAATCATAATTTAGGTAGTGATCCCGAGATTTAATTTTAGAGGAATCAGACTTTTACACTAACCCTCGGGATTTGATTTGAAGCAATCAAACTTTCACACTTATCCTTGGGATTTGATTTGGAGGAATCAAACTTTCACACCGACCTCAAGATTTGATTTAGAGGAATCGAACTTTCACACCGATCCTCGGGATTCAATTTAGAGGAATCAAAATTTGACTTTCGCACCAATCCTTGAGATTTGATTTGGAGGAGTAAGCACTCGGATTCGTTTTAGAAGAATCATACTTTCACACCAATCCTCCGGATTTGATTTTGAGGAATCAAACTTTCACACTAATCCTCAAGATATTGGGGGAGTGGAAAATTTATGAAAGGGCGTGCAAAAATTTGCAGAGCTTTTGAAAATTTTGTTGATTTTTTGAAAGTTTTGTAGAATGTGAGGAATTTATGGAATTGGCGAGGAGTTTGAGATTTGGTGGAAATTTGATTGTAAGTGCAGAATTTCAAATTTGGGTTATCATTTTCATTATGTTGCACGTTATTTGATTTTATGCATATATGTGTTTTGTATCATTCTTTGTTAATTGTAAAACTAAATTAACATTCATTTCAATGACTTTGAATCGAGTGTAAGTCAAAAGATGATCTTTGTTGATTTCCATTGAAACTGAATACATTTAAGAATATTGAAATATGGCGAGCACATCCTTGTAGGAATTGCAATACATCAGATCAAGTTTGTTTTGAAGTGACCAAAACATAGCAAAAATATCTTCTTACATGAAACTACGCTGCAATCAAGCTAACCTCCTAAGTTATGCCACGAAATAAAAGTCCCCTTGCATATACTTAGAGGTAGGTTATCTCACAACTCAAGTGGTTGTAATGCTTCCAGATATGGAGCTGGTATTTATTTGGCACTTTGTCTTCATCCATTCTTCTGAGAGTTACGAAAATCCTCCTTTGTGGGACTCACAGAATGCAATGCTTCATCAGGTCTGCTCGAGTACAGATCCAACCAGTAGCGGAATCTCGATAAGTCCTTTGAATTCTCTCGGACCAACAACATATATCTTCATTCCAAATAGTATGTTGCATTTGCTAATAAATGAGACGATGCTAAAAGGTCTCAGAAAGTCTCGGTGATCAATATGAGGAGGAATACAGGCCCCTTCTACGTAAATATTGATGGTGCAGCTATTGGGGACGCAATCAGCTGGCAGTATGCACCACGACACCATCCTCTTAATCATTTTCTTTATTTTTGATGGTATGGGATCCACCTCTTCATGTCTTATAATCCACAGGGGATTCCCTTCTCTATCACGAGCAAAGTTATAGTAGCAGCAACACTGAATAGTGACTCTACACTTGCCTCTCATCTATTTGGTGGTTTTGAATACATTCTCTTTCTCAAAAGGCCTACTCGACCTTTATCCCTTAAGTCAAACACGCAGTCCAATATCTTCCTTTCATCACTCTCCGACAATATTCTAGTATGTAACTCCAGCCCTTCCAAAATGTTGACATACTTTCCTTGTATTTCCACGTAGTGCTCAAACTCCCGTCTCCGAACCCTTTGCATCTTCTTCAGCTCATATATGGGAACCATCTACAGATGTCACGAATTGACGTATTGAGGTACATAAGCCTCCACATTTGGGTGCTATTTACTCCTGAGAACCATCGAAGCTACCTTGTATTCTTCCAAGGACCTGTAGTGCTCCAGAAAGAGAACATTGCATTTTGGGCACTCTGTCAATGACCTAGCTGGCATGTAATCTGGCAGCACCAGCCTCACTCTATCAGCATTGCACCATGGAAATCCCACAAACTATTTTGTAGGCATGTTTTCTAGCAACAAAGGCCCCATGGCAACTTCAGGATCGTCATTTCCTGTCGGGAGCTGCGTGGGTGTTTCTTCCACTGACCACACATGAACCTCTTCCTCTGTAACCAGTGCACGTTCCACTGATTCTTTTACTTGTCTTCTTCCTCAGCAATCAAGGGCTCTGTGCTTACGATGGTTGGCATTTCTTGGTTGTGTCCGTATTAGCGGTTCTCCTCTTGAAGATGCACTGACCAATTCCCCATTCAGAGTCATGACCATTGACTTTATCTGTATTGCCTTCCCATCACGCCATGAGTATCAGAAACTTTCCTTGTAACCATTTCAGATTTATTCCTTTTCACTAACACTTCTTCTTTATGACAGATTTTGATTAACGTTTTTAGCCTCTCCTTATCCTTCTGCTCGGCAACCCTCAAAAAGTGTCCTTCATAATCAAGATTGACCTGCCCGTAGTACAAATCAAAGCTCACGACACCACCCTGTGCCATCCTCTTCTCATGCAATGCGAGATTCAAGCTGTTTTTAAAGGAGAAGGTCAACTTAGGGCCCAACATTTTTTGATAGAAGACAGGAAAAAAGTAAGCGAGCTGAACTTAAAAGCTAACAAGAATGATAACAATTCATTATTAGGTGAATTTTAAATTACATACAATTATTTTACCTTATTTGATTTTGAGAAAATTTGAGATTTAACAAAAAATTGAATTTTGAGGTGTGAATCTTTTAACATAAATTTTATTTTATTAAAATTTTATTATTACGATTCTTCTTGGGACCAAGGCACAGGCATTGGCCATGTGGCCATCTCTAAGAACAAGTATCATTTGTGGAGCTTATCATTTGGGACGTCACATTGGATAATATTTATTCGGATATCGTCTGATTATCGACACATGGGCTTTCACCCTGGTAATCCACCAACTAGTATGACCCTTCAGAGTATACATTTTCCACCACGAACGGTCCTTCCAAATTGGTTCAAATATCCTACCTATCTTGCGGTGTGCAAGAATAGACATTCTAAGGATGAGAATGAGGTCACCAACTTTAAATGTCCTTGGGCAGACCAGTTTGTCTTGGTCTTGAATTATTTTTGTCTGGCAGATCTCCAAGTTTTGTTGCATCATTAATTGCTTCCCTTTGAGACCCTCCAATTCTTCAAGTCGAAGCTTCACGTTATCTTCTATTGTAACTATGTTGGCCACAACGACTTTGAGAGAAAGTAAGTGCATTTCTAACGGAAGCACTGTCTTAGACCTATACATGAGAGCATATGGTGTAGACTGCGTCAGAGTCCTGACCATTGTCTTATATGTTCACAAAGCTTCTAATTGTTTCTCGTGCCACCCTCTTTTGCTTTCTTTCAATATTTTCTTCAAGATTTGCACGAGTGTCTTATTGAAAGCTTTGGCTAGATCATTCTCCCTTGGGTGCTAGATTATAAAGTATCTCCAATCTATCTTATGCCGTCTGATAAAGTTATTAATCTTTGTGCTCTTAAAGGCGGGCCAGTTGTTTGAAATGATCATGCGCGGAACACCAAAACAATAGACGATCTGATTCCTAAAGAATTGAAAAACATGTTTCACTATGACTTCTCGTAATGACACTGCCTCTACCAACTTGGAGAAGTATTCTATTGTGACAAGAATGAATTGATGTCCTTTAGAAGATGAAGAGTCTATTGGACCCACTATATCCGTGCCCCAACACTCGAATGTCCATGATTTAACCATTGGATGTAGCACATTTGGGGGTTGGTGCAATAACACTCCGTGCACCTCGCACTGGTGACACCGCTTGGTCATCTCCATGAAATCAGACATATCGCGGCCCAGTAGTACCCAAGTCTCTTGATTTTCACTTTCATCTGCAGCTCAGACTGGTGAGCTCCACAAAGTCCAGACTGCACCTCTTTAACGAGGTCCAATGCTTTTGTTCTGCTTAGAAATCTCAGTCACATCTGATCAAAGGAACTTTTTCACAAAACGTTGTCAACCAAAGCATATGACATTGCTCTTTTCTGACAAAACTCATGTCTGCAGGTATTTAACAAACAACTAGCGCCAATATTTCAAAGCTTCGACCACTATAGCTGTTATCTCCTCTTTTCCCAATTTGCTCAAATTATCCATATTTATTTGTGATAAAATTTTGCGCCCCTGCACGGTAATGTTGACAAAGTTTTTCTGTGGACACGCTAATTCCTTAGCGAGGTTTGCTAGAGCATATGTACGGGCATTTTCTCCCCAAAGAATTCTAAATAATGTCACGTTAGGAATTTGCTCCAATAGTTTCATTATATATTGATAATATTTCTCTAACATTGGTTTCAAAAATCTTTACTTACCAACCACCTGCTGAATAATGAGCTGCGAGTCACCATAGATGGCGATTTCTGTTATCTCGTTTGATATTGCCAATTATATTCCGGTGATTAAAGCTTTATACTCTGCTTCATTATTGGTGCACGGTTTTGTAAGTTGGTAAGAGAAGCTTAACATCGCCTAATCTAATGTAATGAAGATCAATTTGATTCTTGCTTTGTCGGGTATCACTGTATGCAGTTCATTATTGCATTTAACTGACGAAACTTCATCGATATAAATTTACCAACGTTGAGCACTGGGTTGTTCCACATGCATTATCTATTCGTCTGACAAGTCATTGTTAATAGGAGACCCAGCTGGTAGTGGGTGTGCCGCGAGAAAGTCCACTGGGATCTATCCTTTGATAGTGCAAAGAGACACAAATGTTATATCAAATTGCAATAGATCATCAACCACCTTGTTAACCTATTGGAAAGCGTTGGACAAGCCATTAAATATTGCAACAAATTAAACCTTGAAATCAAGTTGACTTTATGAGAAAATATGTAATGTCTAAGCTTTTGAGCGGTAAAAAT